GAGCGCAATCGTCAGTATCAAAAGCTCCAAGGTCTCTATGATAGCCTTAGGCTACGGAATATCACTATTGCTAACCAAGAAAGTACTCTTGAACCATCTTTGGTAGCACAGTCTGGTGTTTTTGGCTTCCCATTAGGTAAGAAAAGACATGTTTTATATATATATATATATATGTGTGTGTGTGTGTGTGTGTGTGTGTGTGTGTGAGAGTGTGTGTATTTGTAGTATTGGGGATTGAACCTATGGCCTCACATGCTAGGCAAGTTTCTAAGTTGCTACCACCGAGCTACATCTATTTTATTTTGAGAGATGGTTTTACTAAATTGCCCAGGCTGGCCTTGAATTTGTGGTTCTTCTGGCTCAGCCTCCCAAGTAGCTGGGATTATAGGCATATGCCTGTCACTGTCCACATATATTTTGATTTCTTTCATATTTATCTGTTCTTTCTGTTCTTCTCATTGTACGTACTTACCCTTTTACTCTTTCTATCTTATTTAGCTTTTTACATACAGTCAGCATTTTCCTCTTCGTAGTCTAAGAAAACTATCCAATATCTGTTTTTCAAATCAAGGATTTTTCTCACTGTACTCTGTGTAGTTCCAAGCTGTGAGTGAAGGCTCCAAGGGTCTAGAGCCATGATAGGTTATGAATCTTTCATCTGTATCTCAACCTCACATCATTCTTTTACCTATTATATTTGCTTACGTTCATAGTATGCCTTTAATATATTTCAAGATATAAGTTTGCAGATTACAATGTAAATTAAAAATTACTTAGTTACAGTAATAAATAATAGCTGCCACTTATTGATTTCTTACTAAGTGCTAAGTACCTTTTTAAGTGTCTTACATGTATTCATATAATTTACAAACCTATGTGAAATAAATACTGTTTTTTATCCCTGTTTTGTAAGTGAGAAAGGAGAAAGCTAAGGAACAGAAAGTTAATTAACTTGGTCAAGATCACATAGCCTATACTCTTAACTGTTTGCATCCTCAGGAAGACCTTGTTTTAGTTTCTTTCACATGCCAATACTGGTCGCACAGTTCTCAAATTATTGTCTGTTGTTTGGTTCTTTTTAAAATTTACCTTTTTATCTGCTCATCAGATGTTTATCCAGTGTTTCATGTGCCATTGTGTTATGCATCTTTATATCTCTCTAAACAATGAGATATAAAGATTGTCCAGATAGTAATACTGCCTTCACAATCTAGGATGATACCAACTTTTTGTTAGGTACCCTGCCTAACAAGTTCCTAACTTTCACTTACTTATATTGTAGTTTAGTCAACCAAAGAATTTCTGTAAGTGGATATTGTAGGTATTATTTTCCTGTCACTGTCCACATATATTTTGATTTCTTTCATATTTATCTGTTCTTTCTGTTCTTCTCATTGTATGTACTTACCTTTTTACCTCTTTCTTTTTTAGCTTTTTACATACAGTCAGCATTTTCCTTTTTATAGTCTAAGAAAACTAAAAAAACTAAGGAAGTGCCCAGCAGAAGTAGTTAAATGTTCATTTGATCACATCTATTACCTGATTTTCCATAAAGTTATGCTAATTGTTATTGAGTCATGGGTATATGGCAGTATTTCATGGTTGTCGTATATTTCTGGAGTGTGTATTACTATATATATATATATATATATTTATTTTTTTTTTTTTTAATTTTTTAATTCCTTCTGGTATGGTGACACACACCTGTAATCCCAGGTACGATGGAGACCGAGGCAGGAATATTCCATGTTTGAGGCCATCCTGGGCAACTTAATGAGACCCTGTCTCAAAATAAAATAACATAAAATAAAATAGGGCTGGGGATATAGCTCAGTGGTGGAGTGCTTGCCTAGTATGTATGAAGCCCTGTGTTCAATCCCCAGTTCTAAATAGAAAATTATTGAAAAACATGACTCAAAGGATCATGTGCATATATGTATTTTTGATGATTCCTCTGAAATAGATAACAAATTAATAAAATTATGATGTTGTGAATTCTAGTACTACTAAAAATGTTTCATTGTGTCAGATAACTTTGGCAATGAAATTATGGCTATCAATGGAAACTGCATCACAGAAGGTATTGTAGATACTTTAGTCATGGGGAGGGAGAGGTGTGGACATTAGGGTCCTTTTTAAATCTAGTGTTATGTTTGTATTTTATCCATCTTGGGTGAGTTTTGTTACAGTATTTATTGAATGGATTTTGGTTTTTTGTTCCTAAGGATCTATGAGGAAATAAATGCTTATTATCTCTCTAAATTTTTTTCTAGGTAACAGCTCCAAGTTTCCTTTGGACAATACACCAGTTCGAAATCAGGGTGGCGGAGATGGAGATTTTCAGTTTAGACCATTTTTTGTGGGTTCTCCAACAGCACCTGAAGCCAGCAACAGCTTTTTTAGTTTTGCCTCTCAAGGCCATGAATTAGAGCAGCAACAAGTCTCTAGCAGAGCCTTCAAAGTAAAAAGAATTTAGCTTATTTTATAGAATGTTTGTTTGAATTCAGTGATTTCATTTATCATAGAATCTTTATTCTAGGTAAGAGTTGTCAACCTCCCTGTGCTGTTAAGTCTTTGAAGTTCACTTCACATTTCAACTTATAAAAAATTCAGTGGCAGTAGGGGATTGGCATTAATGTCTTGATTTTTTTTTTGTGTGTTCCTTTGTTGCTAATATTTAAAGCGTGAAAATTTCATTAATCTCAATTTCTTTGTATACTGTTGAGTTTTCATTCCTGGTGAAAAGGTCACAACATTATTATATGTTCTGTAGATCACTCTGACTTTCTGACTGAGCTGTGTGTTTATGCATTATATGTATATAAGCACCAGTGTTATATGTTTACATGTTACTTTGGGTCTTGGTATTTATGCATATATATGTATGTAATTATGTCCATTGATATTTTACTGTATTTGTCAGTATATTTAATGAATATTTTGGTTTTGGATAATGGTGGGTGATCTGTGGCTTGTTATTTGGGTGTGTGTGTATTTATTTGTATGTATTTATGTATTTGTACACATATTAACTTGTTTACAGAGGTATGTTAATGTTAATGAAAGAACAATTTTATGTATGTATTTCCAGTCCCCCCTTATATTTAAAAATTATTTGATAAATTTATAAAGTTGATTTTTTAGGATTTGTTTAAAAATAAAGCTTTTTATTAACTATAGCCTGTTAACTATTTTAAGAATGCACTTCTGGGACTGGGGTTGTGGCTCAGGGGTAGAGTGTTCGTCTAGCACATGGAAGGCACATAAAAATAAATAAATAAAGGTGTTGTGTCCAACTATAGCTAAAAGCAAATATTAAAAAAGAATCTACTTCTGATGCTGAGAAATTACTAATGTTATTGGTAGTAAGAGATTGTTAATTAAAATAATTTTAAGATTTATTCCTTGTTTCCCTTTATTAAATCGTGAACATTTCAGTTTACTGTTAAGAAATTCAATGATGTTTAATTATTGTATTTAATTATTTAAAACAGAATCAAGAAGGACAATCTTAGTAACTTTATGTCCTGTTAGAGGCAAGTCTCCAAAGCATTCTTGTTGAAGGGGCAGAACATTGGGATTCGAATGATGGTTCTTTCCACATATATGTTGTACAAGATTAAGTTAACATTTTTAGGCTTTAGTTTATATATCTGTAGTATGAGGATTTGAATTACATTATCCTTAAATTGATTTTTACTGGTTTAGGATGAATTACACTGAGCTTATACTAATGCCAAATAACCATTTTTCTTTAGATAATAAGAGTCATACTGAAATCATTTGAAATTTTTTGGATTTAGTCATTATAGGTAATGCAAATAAATACTCTTCTTTACATAATTGAATACCAAGCAAGTAATATTTTCTTCATTGGGCGTACAGAGTATAAATTTTTTTCTTTTTTCTTTTTTTTTTTACTCCAGAATTAAGATGGTATCTGAAGGAATATCTTGACTTAAAAGTTTTAAAATGTGCCTATTTTGTAGGTAATGAGATTTAATAGATTACAATGTATTTTTGTTCCCTATATAATTTTAAATTTTGTTGGAAAGTGGTTTGAGGAAATGATTTTATTTATGTAGCTTCATGATTTTTGCTGAGAACACTTAGCTTCATCCTTTGTTAGGCTCACAGAATCAATTTGATTCTGAAATCAAGTAAGCTATAATTAAAAAGGGTAAAGAGAAACTGTTAGAAATACTACATATTACTTTAAAAAACTTTATTCAAGAGTTTAATACATTCACATGGTACAAATTAAAAAGGTACCCAAAAAAAGCAGAGCGAAATTTTCCCTTCTACCTCTGTCTCCCAGCCACTCTGTTTCTCTGTTTGGAAGCAAGTTACTGTTGGCAGTGTCTTCTCTTTTCAGAGAAAGTCTATGTGGAAGCATTTTTTTTTTTAATTTAAAAATTATTTAGTTTTGAATAAGTACATTTATGTGGCAAAAAATTCAAAAAGTACACAGTGAAAAGAATTCTCTGCCCAGTCGCTGTTCACTTTCTGGAGACATTGTTTCTTGAGTATCCTTCTGGAAATAGACGATGAATATGTAAACATTATCAGTGTACAGCATGATAGTTTTATAACGCCATACCAAGTGTAGTAGATTTATTAAGATAGTGCATTCCAAATGATGAAATTACTCATATGTTTGAAAATCTGCAAAGTTTGTAAAAGAGTCAGACGTTACCATTGTTCTACATTATCTTCAAAATTTCAAAGGGCACAGGCATTCCACTGTCTTAAACTGTCTTCTTTTATAGGAGTATTATAATCTTGATATAAATAAGTAGGAAGATATCAAACAAAAATACACACGTGATTAATTTTAGGACATTTTGTTACCCAGAATTTGGGAAAGAAATTTTTGATTTCAAAGGTGATTAAAGAGGTCTTCAGCTATTTTAGGCGTTAGTTCAAGTCGGTTTGGATCAATGCCCTTTATCTGCAGGTTAGCCTCCAGAGCCCTAGATGTCGCTGTGGCTCCGCGATGGGCGTGTGTGTGCGTCTCTGTGATTACAAACTTGAGGGCAGAGAAGCCGAGTGCGGCTCGGGAATGATGGCTGAGGAAGAGGAAGAAGCTAAGCACATCTTGCAGAAATTACAGGTGAGGCCACAGATTCAAATCTGTGTCTGCTTTTGTTACTCGGGAAGAAGCAGGGAGCCCATTTTATGCAGTGCTTGCGAGTTCCATGGCTCATATTCGGTGCTGCACGCGTCTGTGCGGTTACTATAACAACTCCCGAGGTGCAGCTGGCAGCGGCCAGGGAAGCTTCCAGTCCAGGAGAGGAACGCAGCCCGTGTGCTAGCACCCGGTGCTGCCGCTGTGAATGCGGAAGGGGAATTGTTGCTCCTGACTGTACTCCTGTACATTCTTAGAGAGGAACTCCCCCGCCCCTCTAGATTCCTCCGTGAAAGCGTATTTATGTGTGTGGAAGGTCTGCATGAACCATTATCATGTGTTGTTTTATCCCTAGAAAGGCCATTTCTTTTAATACCTTTCTGCTTTGAGATTGTCAGCAATCGCAGTAATGGCTTGCACTGCAAATATCCTGGTTCCTTTCCTTAGGACTTAACGGTTTGGATATTTTTTTGACCGCTGTAGTCCCAGTTTGGAATTCATTGCAGACGGGTTCAGGCTTTACCTAGTCCACAGGTACTTGTTCTTTTGACTATTGTACTTGGTAGGTAGGAGTTATGTAGTTTCTTGATTCTGCCTTTCATTTAATGGCCTAAGAATTTCTTTAAACCTCAGAAACAGACTGAAATGTGAACATTAAGAGTTTATGATAGGCTTGTAACTTGCTTCAAGGCGTCAAACCCAAAAGTTTTAAGCATTGATGAGATTTGTTTTCTGAGCAGGTAACATAATAGCACTTTTAGAGTGTGGATTTAAGTCACTTCCAGCTGATTCGGATTAACTTCATTTTATTCCCTCCTGTGATTCCTGAAGTCAGAAATTCCCAATCCTGGCTCCATATTAGAAACATCATATATATGTATTTCTGAAAAAGTATACTAAACACAGGTTATCCCTGAGGCTATCTGAGGCTATTTGGAGCGATTATAAGTTTTTTACCTTCTGTTTTTGCATACACCTATTTGAATTTTAACAAATTATGGGTATTGATATTGCCATGAGAGAAAAACGTTCAGTCCAGCAAAACCAAACCAAACCAGTTCTTGCATGTTTGCTTTAGCAACTGAAAATAAATAGAAAGACCTTGTTTTAAACTCCCAATTTGCAGCTGATCCATGCTTTTTATTCTGGGTAGGATTTTAAATTAAATATAACACATGTATTTGTTAGAAACAGGTATGATATATCAATTTAGTCAACATACCTAATGAGAGCCTACCATGATCCAATCCCTGTTCTAATGCTCTGGTGTAACTCAAAGCAAAGTCCTTTGCATTATGGAGCTTATATTCCAGTAGTAGAGACAGAAAATGGACAATGAATAGGTCATATAATTTCAAATGATAGGTACTCTAAAGAAAAGTAAAAGAGTGATTTAATAGTTTGATTTTGATAGTTAGGGAAAGTTCTAAGAAGCTGGTGTTTGAACTGAACTCTAAATAATGATGAGGAATGACTCATGCAGAGTTCTGAGGAAAGAATGCCTAGCATAGGGAAAAGCATATATAAAGATCTCAAGGTGGGATCAAGCTTGATGGCTTTGAGAACTGAATGATGGCTAATATGACTTTAGTATTATAGGTGGGAGGGTGGTAGGAAGTGGAATTTTTGGCTGGTTGGGTTGTGGGAGGTCAGATCATACAATGTTGCGACCCATGGTAAGGAGTTGGATTTTATTCTATCTGCAGCTGGAAACTTAGGGTTTGTGATATGATATATATTTTTATTAGGTCACTCTGACTACAGTATAGAGAATGGAAGAGAGTAGAAGCATAGTGATTAGTAAGAAGCTATTACAGTAGAGCAGGCAAGTGCTGAAAATTAGTCCGGGATGGACATAGCATGATGGAGACAGGTGGACGAATTTAGGATGTCTTGTGGCGGGAGTTGATAAAACTCGATTGGGTTGGTCTATATGTTTCTGCTGCTATTCAGTTTTAGGGAAAAAAAATAGTGAAAAAGTTTCATGGGGAAGATTCAGAGACATTTCAAGGAGGAAAGAGAACATTTACTTGCAGATAATGCCAGACAGCCAGAAGATGACTTGACAAAAAATAAAGAAATGGGAAACAAACAAACCACAATAATCATTTAAAGAAACAAAACCTTAGGGCTGCAGATGTAGCTCAGTGGTAGAGCTGCTTGCTTAGAATGAGTAAGACCTTGATTTAATCCCCAGTGCTGCAAAAGAAACAAAACTCTGCAAAAATACCAAGGTTACCAAGTTCACATTGGACTGTTTGTGTTGGAAAACAATGCCCTTCTCACATGTTTATCATATTCAGAAAGGTCATTTGTTTTCACATACCAGCATAGGAAAAATTGGGGATAAAGTGTTTTTTGTTAGGAAGTCTAGTTTAAAAAAATTTTTTTTTGACTTTGCTGGGGATCGGATGTAGGGCCTTCTCCTTGCTAGGTAAGTACTCTGCCACTAAGCTTAGGAAGTCCAGCTTTAAGGGTATATTTGAAAGTTTTAGTCTTTGGGGGCCAGAACCAGACAGAATAATCTTGTTAACTTTGGTTTTTCTCAAGTTGCAAAGTGTTTGCCTCCTCCTGACTATGGTATGGGAAGTGCTTAGATATTGGAAGCCCTATTAGAGCTGGGAGAAAGAATTGTCTTTACAGTATAGAGACTGACATGGGACAAGTTGGGACCTTGAAAGTGGGCCCTGGATACTGGCTGCTTTCCTCATGATTTGTGGCGTTTCAGTAGACCTGTCCATCTGCCTATTGTGCCATTCCTAGGTGAGAGAAGAGAATCAGTATTTCTAGGCCAAGAGCTAGTATGATTAGTCCTTTTCAAATTTCCTTGTAAGATGCTGTCTCCCCACTTAATGGTACTATTCTTCTGCCTTCTAGGAACTGGTGGATCAGCTCTATTCATTTCGAGATAGCTATTTTGAGACACATAGTGTTGAGGATGCTGGGCGGAAGCAACAGGATGTGCGGGAGGAGATGGAGAAGACCCTGCAGCAGATGGAGGAAGTATTGGGTATGAGCTGTAAAGAACTTGCAGCCCCTTGCTTGTCATTGAAATGTGATAGAGTTTTGTCTCTTTATTTATCCTGGTCTCTTGTTGGTGGCATTTATGGGTTGGTAGAACAGATTGTTTCTTCTAAGGACCCTTGTGCAGGATATTAAGCTTTCAGTCCCTAAGCTGTTTTCCTAAGGTTTGATTATAGCAAACTTGTTGCTTGAAGTATTGTGGTAATCTCCTTAATTGATCTTTCTGTCTTTAATTCATTTTACTTCCAGATCAACTTATATACTGACCTTGGCCATAGTTATCTTTCTAACTCATTACTTCATTTATTTAATGGCATTTAATCTTATTCTTTTGGCTGGCTTTTCCCCCCCCCACTAGTACTAGGAATTGAGCCAGGTGCATTGTACCACTGAGCTGTGACTCCTGACTCTTTTTGTTTCTTTAAATTTTGAGATGCTAAGTTGCCCAGGCCTTGAACTTGTGATGCTCCTGCTTTAGCCTCTTAAGTAGTTGGGATTATAGGTTTCCACCACCATATTGGCCCCCTCTTATCTGTCTTTTTGCTCAAGTATCTAAAGATTCCTGCTATTGACTGTCTGAAGTCTAACCCCCTTAACCTCATATTTAAGTGTCCATCATCTCACTCTTTTTTCTAACTTTAATTCTGACTACTTGTTTATCAAGGAACTTTTTGTTTCATCCAGGTTGGAATACTCATGCTTGCATGAACATACCACATGTATTTTTGTTTATATGATTTTCTAACAGGAAGAATCTTTTTTTTTTTTTTTAAATTTATTGGTTCTTTTATATATGACAGTAGAATCCATTTTGTCATAATTATAAAAGCATGGAATATATCTTGTTCAAATTCAGTCTCCAATACCTCCCTCGCCATCCAGTTCCCTTCCTGTAAAGCAGAAAGGGGTGTGTGCGAGATCAGGAACCACAGAACAAGAATCAGGCACCAAAAGAAGGTTTATAGGGTGGGGGGCTCCTCGGGAGGTTCACTGGTCAGCGAAAGGGTGAGGGCCGGGGAAGTCACCCGTGGGAAAGACAAGAACAATGTTAATAAGGGAATCTGGAGGTAGGAGGGCCTAGGCCATCTAAATTGCAGCTACTGACAGCAGATTGGCCGAGCTGAGTTTAGGGGGGTTATGTCTATCACAGGCTGGTCAGGGCTGATGTGAGATGACAGGGCAATTTCTTCAGCTGGGGAACCATGGTGGTTGGGGTCCGTTGCCATGTCAGCTTCTGATTGGCCATTTCAGGTCTCCTCAGCCAGGTAGAAAGTCCCTACCCCTAGCCACTGTGAAAGGGGAGGAGGAAGGGAAGCCTGCAGACCTAACACTTCCCTTTACTGATCTTTCTGCCATTTACCTATATTAATTTTTAAAATTAATTTCTTGTGGATGTACATGATGGTGAGATTCACTGTAGTATATTCAAATATGTACATAGGCAAGTTATATCAGATTTATTTGACGCTATTCTTTTCACATCCCCCCTCCCTTCCCTTCATTTTATCTTCTTTTCTCTTTACTTTTTAAAGCCCATTCATTGAGTGAGTACCCTGTGCTGCTTTTCATTGTTATTTTAATTTTCCATGTGTTCAGTTTTGTTTCTTTCACCAGATTGTGAAAGCCTTCTAGGGTAGAAATACTGCTTGCTTTGTTACCCAATACCTAACATAGTATTCTCCATATAATAGGCTTTCAGTAAGTGGATCACTGTTAAAAATTTTCCTCAACTCCTTCCATTCCTAGAGCTAGCATGCTGTTATTTCTTGAGAGACAGTACCCTGGTCTTCCCACTTCTCAGGTTTTTCAACTTTCCTTTATCTTTTTCTTTTCTTCCTAGGTTCTGTCCAGGGCAAGGCACAGGCTCTGATGCTAACAGGAAAGGCACTGAATGTGACTCCTGACTATAGCCCTAAGGCTGAGGAGCTTCTGTCAAAGGCTGTGAAGCTGGAACCTGAGCTGGTGGAAGCCTGGAACCAGCTGGGTGAGGTCTACTGGAAGAAAGGGGATGTTGCAGCTGCCCACACCTGCTTCTCAGGAGCCCTCACCCATGTGAGCTGCCCACCATCCCCTCAGAAAACACAGATGGGAAGGATGGAATTCCTTTGGTTCTGTGAATTTCTCTAGGACTCTAATAATAAATCAGAGCTAAGTTTGAACTAGGAGAACATAATCAGAAGGGTAAAGGAGCCACCTGGATGGGGAAATCAGGGACAGGGAACTGAGAAAGGGAAAACGTGATGGGATCAAATTTAGGGGTAGATAAGAAGTGAAGAAAAGTGAGCAACCAAGCTAATCCTTGTTTTTGGCATTCCAGATGCAGATGGCAGCAAGAATTAAGATGAAAAATTAGATTTAGGAGATTGAAGTCAGAATAGATCTAGAAAGAGAAGGTAGAATTAGGAAGGTTGAGTGTTATGTTTTTTTTTTATTTGCAGTGCAAGAATAAAGTCTCCCTGCAAAACCTGTCAATGGTGCTTCGCCAGTTGCGTACTGACACAGGAGATGAACATTCTAACCATGTCATGGACAGTGTTCGACAAGCTAAGTTGGCTGTGCAGATGGATGTCCTCGATGGCCGCTCCTGGTGTGAGTGCTCTCAAGAGATCTCCTAGGTTTCTAGAGTAGTGGTTCTCAATCATGGCTACATATCTAAATCACCTGGAACCTATCTTGAATCTTGACAGTAAGGTAAACTAGGGCATCTTGTTTTAAAGAAGCCCAAAAGGTATTTTGATGAACCACTATTCTTTGATTTCTTCTTTTTCTTTTTTTTGTATGGTGCTGGTGCTGGGGATTGAACCCAGGACCTCGTGCATAGTAGGCATGTGCTCTACCACTGAACCCCTCACCGGTACTCTTGGATCTTTTGATTCAATGGAGGAGACAAATGCTTCCACATAAGCAAGTAGGGCTTTTGTAAAGTTTATTCAAGTTTCTCTTCAAGGGGGTGCGGGGTAGGGTGTTCATGTTTATCTGTCCTGCAAGAATTTTGGTCATACTAAATATAGTGTCATCCTGGTTTGGTCCTAGGAATTGAACTTTCTTTTTGGTCCTAGGAATTGAACCCAGGGGTGCTTAACCACTGAGCCAAATCCTCGTTCTATTCTTTTCTTTTTTAAAAAAAATTAACTAATTAATTCTAATTAGGTATATATAACAGCAGAATGCATTTTATTCATTGTACACAATTGCAGCACAAATTTTCATTTCTCTGGTTGTTCACAATGTAGCGTTGCACCATATGTGCAGTCATACATGTACCTAGGGTAATGATGTCGTCTCATTCTACCGTCTTTCCTGTCCCCATTTTCCCCTCCCTCCCCTTTGCCCAATCACAGTTCCTCCAAATTTTCAGTTGTTTTTATTTAGAGACAGGGTCTCTCTAAGTTGCTTAGGGCCTTAATAAGTTGCTGAGATTGGGTTTGGATTTGTGACTCCCTTGCCTCAGCCTCCGGAGCCACTGGGATTACAGGCATGTGCCACTGTGTCTAGCTGAAATAGACTTTTAGGGGTTAACAGAATAGGTCATATCCCGTATTTGGGCTCTGAGATGATCCATTGCTGTTTTTCTTTCAGATATTCTGGGGAATGCATACCTTTCTCTATACTTCAATACTGGCCAGAACCCTAAGATATCCCAACAAGCCCTCAGTGCCTATGCCCAAGCAGTAAGTACTTGTGGTTACTTAGGTCAAGTAAATAGAGACAATCACAGAAGGAAGAGCATCATTCAGTCTTTCTTATGGTCCTTTGGCAAGCAGCATGTGAAGTATTATCTGGTTTCTTATGTTTGTAAAACTGTGTTTGCACAAGTAACTTATTTCTTCTTATAATGTGAGTGTTAGGAGCTACTTGCAGCGTGATGCTTTAGTGCTAGATAGTTCCTGGAGCTATTTAGATATTGTAGAGGCATGTATAACCAAATCACAGAAGATGTCTCAATCTGTTTATATTTTTTAATGGGAAAAAAGACTATTAAAATAATGCTTATTAATTGTACACATTTATTTTAAAGAAAGAAGAAAACTCTTTAACGCTTAAATACTACCCCCACATTAACTAGTAGACAGTGTGGCTCTGGATTTCCTGTGGGCTAAAAGAGAAAATAGTATATAGTCTATTCTGCATCATTACCTAGAATTAATTCACTGGAGCTCATTCTTTGCCTAGTCTTCCAGGCCATTTTTACATGGGTCTTTCCTTCAGGCTTTGGATACCTGATTACTCATTTTTAGGAGGTTCACATTGGCCTTCTGAGCACTTCTTATTTGACTCTCATGTTCATCTTTCTTCTTTGCTTTCATGAATTCTTTGATATAGAGAACTGCTTTTTAACCTATCATTACTTGTTTTGATCTTTGTGGCAAAACAAAGAAAATAGTTCCCTTATATTCATGTTTGTGTTCAAGGACTGTCCATTTTTCAGTGAGGAAACTTAGAGATTTATATTTTACTCTAATTTCTTAATTTTGTGAATGTTTACATTTTAAAGAATAATATGGCATTTTTATATTTGACTTCTGCCAATTGCTCTTAACTCTTTAATTTCTTCTCCTAAATCCACATTTTGAAACATATCTGAACTAATCATTTAAACAATTTTAATTCATGTTGTTTGTGCTTTTGTAGTATGACAGGCAATTAATGCAATTAACAAATGAACAGATCAGTTTCTTCACAGCACATTTGCACTGTCCTTTGGTTTCTGGCCATGTATTTTAGAGAATCAGAATTTGACTTTCCATTTGTGCTTTAAGGGGGTAGGAACATGATTCTGGATGTAGGAACATGATTCTGCGTGGGTCTGGAGCCAGGCTCATGGGCAGAAGAAATGCATTAAATCAATATCATATCATATTGTGCTAGGCTTTCCTCATTTATCCAGCATATTACTACTAAAAATTATTTTTATCAGAATGTGTTCACATATTTCTTCATATTCTGTCTTTATAGTACTGTGTGGATTAACTAAAACCATATTTGAAAGTTTTACATATATAAGCACTGTTACATCCCTCAGGTTTGAGAGATTGAGAGACTGAAGAACATATATAAGGAACAATTGTATAGTAGTGTGGGTATAGGTAATATTTTGGCAAGAAACTAAATTTTTTCTAGGGACAAAAGGTCTAGGATGTGGTATGTATGGCTATCCTTAAGATTGAGGCAGGATCCACCGATGATCTTTTTATCCCATTACAGGAGAAGGTTGACAGGAAAGCTTCTAGCAATCCTGACCTTCATCTGAACAGGGCAACGGTAAGACCATGGGACAGTAGTCATAGGAAGGTTAAATAAAAAAGACATATAGGTCTTGGCCTGTGAGGATAACTGAGTATACATATGGACAAAGTTCAGTACGAACTGTGAGAGGAAAGCCAAATTATTTCTAGAACTAGTTAGCTCAATTTGACTTTAGTATCCCATGGAATCACTAAAGGGAGAGAGGGGCTGGGAGGTAGGCGAGTACATAGAAAATGGGGAGATGGTTTAGAAGACTTTGAAGTATTAAGAATAAATGTAAAAGGAGAGTGACCCAATATATGCCACTTTTTATTTAGAGTTTGTAAATTAGTGTCTTTGAAGTAATTTCATCTTCGTCATTGCTATCACCTTGGCCAAGAAGGATGATATTCATGGTAGGACAGGAAAATAACTGGGAAGTAAAACAGTTTATTTCTCCAGGCTCCTAACTCATTGTGGCATTATTCTCTCTGCATAGTTTGGACATATTTATAATTGGAAAGTTTTGGACTACTTTTTGTACAGTTACATAAATATGAAGAGAGTTATGGGGAGGCCCTGGAGGGCTTTTCTCGGGCTGCAGCACTAGACCCTGCCTGGCCAGAGCCCCAGCAACGAGAGCAACAACTCCTGGAATTCCTTAATAGATTAACCATCCTCCTGGAAAGCAAGGTAAAGATGTATAAAGGGCTGAAGCCTACTCTTTTTTTCTGCTAGGGGTCAAAAAATAAGAAAAGAATATACTAAGGTGGTAGTGACCCCATTGAAATAGGTGGGTGAGAGGGAAGGACTGAACTCAAGAATAATTTCCACTTTTTCCTATTTCTCCTTCCTTTGCAGGGAAAGATGAAGGTGAAAAAGCTACAGAGCATGCTGGGAAACTTGCGTCTTGCCCACCTAGGCCCCTGTGGTGATGGTCGCTATCAATCAGCCTCCGGGCAGAAGGTGACCCTGCAGCTCAAGCCTCTGAGTGAGCTGAAGCCTGGTGTAAATAGTGGTGCTGTGGTCCTGGGAAAGGTGGTGTTTAGCCTAACCACAGAGGAGAAAGTCCCCTTGTGAGTGTCTTTTGCCTTTTCTCTTTTTCTCCCTTTTGAACTAATTGCTCTCACTTCTTGTCCTTTCCCTGACAGTTTGAGGGCATTGTTAATGGTCACAGATTACTGACTTCTCATTCCCTTCTGTTCTACAAGCAAAAATTGTCTAGGTAACATCTAACAATCCTTGACAGAAGCCTTTATAGTTTCTGTATGCCTGTTTCTCCCCCTGAGTTTGGTGCTTTGTGAATTCCTATATTTATAACAAATTTAACAGGACATTTTTAAAATAAGATATAGAAATCTTAAAATTCTGCCTCCTTTGAGTTTTGATGATTATAGAGTTGAAGGAGGACAAATTCTGTTCTGTTTAGACTTAGATTTTCTTAGGTAGTTCCAGAAGGTGAACTTTGAGTTGGAACTTAAGGCCAGATTATAGGGAGATTTTCCCAGATTTGTCATTCAACAAATATTTATTGAGCATATACTGTATTTGTTATGAGGAGTGAGAAAAAAATTTATAAAGGAAGTAGGCTAATGATAGCAAAGGAATGAATTAAGAATATTCATTTAGAAAAATTTAAATCTTGAAAACTTAGGGTTTAGTGAGTGCCATCACTCCTTTGTCCTTCACTCTCTTCCTAATCCTTTGTTGACTGTCTCTCTTTTGTTTCTACTGAAATGGTTTATTTTCTGGAATCACCAGAGTCTTTCTAAGCACATGATTCATTGGCTTCACTACATGATTTTATAACATTTGACTTATCTTTCACTGTTGTCTTTCACATCCTTTCTGTTCCATCCAATCTGAAAAACAGTTCCCATTACATTCCTGAGCATTCTCCATTGGCATTTTCTAGAAGTATGTGTATTTGATGAATTGAAGAGCAAGAAGATAGTTGAGGAAAGTTTAGTTAATGAGAGCACACCTTAGAGCTGAGAGGAATGAAAAAGATATAGACAAAGGGTAAGTTTTAAGGAAACTTTGAGAATATATAAATGTTTTGCCACTTTTTGGTTTCTCTCTTTGCCCAACTTCTAAATGTTAGCTTCTTCAGGTCTCCCATGCCATGGGATGTTTGCCTATATTGATTGGTGATTGTCTGACGTAGTCTATAGAAAGACTCTGAGGCTTTGACTGGATTCATCAGGAGAGTACTATGCTTGATTGCAGTGTTCCCTGTGAATTCAAGCATGCTATGTACTGGCATGAGCACTGATTTGTCAGCATCTTATCTATAGTTTATCTTGCTTGGTGATGTCATATGAACCCAAGCCTATGGCTATTTCCTCCATGCTCACAGGTATATCTTCAGCAAGGCCTAATTTTTGGGTTTTGCATCCCTTTATCTGACTGCTTCTGGGCTTCATTTAAAATTTCTAACTCAATGTGTTCAAAATTTCTCATCTGACTGGTCATGGTGGCGCACACCTATAATCCTAGCGGCTCAGGATGCAGAGGCAGGAGGATTGCAAGTTCAAAGCCAGCCTCAGCAAAAGTGAGGTGCTAAGCAACTTAGTGGGACTCTGTCTCTAAAGAAAATACAAAAATAGGGCTGGTGATGTGGTTCAGTGGTCAAGTGCCCTGAGTTCAATCCCCAATACGCCGCCACCAGAATTCTTATTCTTTCTTTTTTTTTTTTTTTTAATTTATTTATTTATTTATTCTAATTAGGTATATATGACAGCAGAATGCATTTTGATTCATTGTACACAACTGTGGCACAAGTTTTCTTTTCTCTGGTTGTACATGATGTAGCACCACACCACATGTGCAGTCGTACATGTATCTAGGGTAATGATGTCCATCTCATTCTACCATCTTTCCTCCCCTCCCTTCCTTTGCCCTATCACAATTTCTAATCATTATTTCTAAACTTGCTTCTCTTCCTTGAATTCCCTGTTGGTGAATGGTACCATCTCTTTACTCAGTCACAAAATTAACACTTCTAAAAGTAATTTTTAGATTTTTCCATTCTGTTTGAAGTAGTCACCAGGTCTTATGCATTTGCTGGTTTTGTTCCTACTTCTCTCTTTCTACTACCTTAATTCAACCTGTTCTCCAAACACATTTCCCTGACTCTACTTTTCCTCCAGTGTTCCATAGAGTTGCCAGAAAATCCAGATGAAAATCTGAACATTGCCACTTTCTATTAAAATTTTTTTACTGGTGTTCTGTAGCTTTCAGAATAAAATTTGAACTCTCTAGCTTAGTTTAGGATTTGCTCTTTCTTTTTTCATTGTCTTTGTCACTTTCCCACATGTACCTTTCATTCTAACTGCAGCACTATTTTGTAAGTTTAAGAACAGCTATTTTCATACCTCTGTGCCTTACACACAATTATACTTCTGAATAATCCTACAGCTTCTTCTTAATATAGCTAAATTTCCTCCTAAAAATTTTCAAACATACAACAAAGTTGAAAGAAATTTACAGTAAGCATCTGTGTATCCAACTACCTATGTTGTACCATTAATGTTTTGCTATTAGTTTATGACATCTGTCTATTTATCCATTTATCCATTTTACTTTTGGTGCATTTCAGAGTAAATTACAGGAATCAGTATACTTTTGTCTAAATACTTTAGCATACAATCTTTAACTGAGGTCAGTATTTGTTTGCATTATTTTCTGTTTATGTGAAATAGATCTGCAATGAAATGTACAAATCTAAATGCACATTTGCTGAGTTTTGACAAATGCTTGCATCTTTATAACCCAAGATAGAGATCATGACTACTACCCCAGGAAGTTCCCTCATTCTCCTTCCAAGTCAGTCTTACTCCCATCTCCCAGAAAGTTTTATTTCCATTGAAGATTAATTTTCCTGTTTTTTTTTTTTTTTTCTTTTCTAACTGGAGATTGAATCCAGAGGTGCTTTACCACTGAGCTGCATGCCCAGTCCTTTTGATTTTTTAATTTTGAGACAGGGTCTGACTAAGTTGCTTAGGACTTTGTTAAGTTGTTGAGGCTGGTCTAGAACTTGTGATCCTTCTGCTTCAGCCTCCTGAATGTCTAGAATTACAGGTACTACCGTACCCTGCTATTTTCCTGTTTTAACCCAGCTAATTTTTTATCCTGTGAGAGTAATCATTTTCCTGAAGAAAGTCTTCCTTGCTTTCCAGTTTTGATTTATAGGTCCACAGCCCAACCTGTGCTTTCACTGAATTTAGCACAAGGGAAAAAGCTGAATATTCATCACACTGTGCTTTAAGTTTTTTTTTTTTTTTTTTTTTTTTTGCAGCATGGGGGATGGAACCCGGGGCCTTGTACATATTAAGCAAACAGTCTACCACTCAGCTATACCTCAGGTCAAGAAATGGTTTTGTTGTTTGACTTCTGGTAGTTTATAGGTCATTAATAGATGGATTGGTATCTTACGGCCAGATACAATGCTTGACACATGTATAACATTTAGTGAAAGTTTGTGAAATTAAAGTAGATTGACAGTGGTAGTTAGGGGTTTTGGCTAAGAGTGTGATAATTAAATTGATAGGCTAGGAATAATGCTTCAGTTGCAGTGTTTTGGGCTAGTTCATCATTGATATTTGTTGGATGACCTCATAGTGTCTGTGTCCTAAGTTCTTAGCAAAGTGATGGATTGTTGAGTCTTGTGTGCATTTTGTAGCTATATAATATCTTAGATAAAGGGGACTCAGAAGTACATAGTGGGTGATGGTTAGTGAGATGATGAATAGTGAGCAAGTTAGTGAGAAAGCATTTGTTTATTTTGCTAGTATTTTAAAACCACTGTTTCTGCTCTTTCCTGCCCACATTCCTTTTTTTTTTTTTTTTCCTTTCCTCCTATCTTAACCTGGCAGTACATTTGGCCTAGTAGATTCAGATGGACCTTGCTATGCAGTGATGGTGTATAATATGGTGCAGAGCTGGGGAGTGCTCATTGGGGACTCCGTAGCCATCCCTGAGCCTAACTTGCGGCTTCACCAAATTCAGCACAAAGGAAAGGTGAGTAGTGACTTGGATTCTCTTGCAATTCATAGACTCTGAAAATGGAACCAAGCTTATCTCTTTTTAAAAAAATACACATAAAAGTGATACATGCATGTGTAAGTGTGTGTGGGTATGGTAAATATTTGCGTGGGTATGCTCTGTTCTCTTTTTTTTATAGAAAAGGGAAACTATGGTAAACAAAAAGAAACTAAAAATTGACTGAAATATTGTCATGGAGATTTATTTCTGTCAATAGTTTGGTGTACATAGCTCCAGTTCTTTTCCTTTTCAGAAATATATGCACACATTTTACTTTTAAATTTTGTATGGGATATTACATGCCAATGTTTGTGAACATTTTCCTTGTTTTTACATATTCCACTACATTGTTTTGAATTGAGTCATAGGAGTAGTGACGATGATGGTAGCTAACATTTACTGAACAATTAACTGAGTGCTAGACACTGCTAGGAGTTTTATTGCCTATGTTGCCTGATCTGATTCTTTACAAAAACCTTATAAGAGTAGGCATGTAACCATGTTTTCATCATTTAGGCAGCAAACTATGTTATGCTGACCAAATCTGGTTCACCACCTATTGTTGTCTGGCCTGTGAGCTAAGAATGGTTTCTATATTATTAAATGTTAAAAAGGAAAAAAGTATATTTTGTGATACATGAAAATTACAGGAAATTCAAGGGTTAGTGTCCATTAAGCTTTATTGGAACACAGCCACACTCACTTGTTTGCATCCGAATTCCAGAGGTGAATTGTTCTGCAACAGACCCCATAACCCAGCAAGCCTGACATTTTTACTATCTACCTCTTTAACAGAGTTTGATTACTCCAGATCTAGATTATTTTAAATTTTTCCAAATGTAAAAATAATGAACATTTTAATATCTTTGTCTGTATCTATGATTATTTTCTTATGTGAATTTTTAATGTAGATTTTTGGGTGTAAAGGGTATATAGAATTCAAAGGTTTTTGACACATATTGCCAAATTATTCTTTGGAAGGTTGTACTGGTTAGTTGTTAACTACCAACAGTGGATATAGGTGTTCTGTGTAGTTTCTTCCAAATACTGGGTACTGTTTTATTTGGTTTATTGATTACTTGTGAGTTTGAATATTTTATTATATGTTTATTGAGTTATTTATGTTTCTTCTATAAATTGTCTTTTTTGTTGTTGCTTGCACATATTCTTGTTAGGACTTTTTAAAAATTTGATTTATGAGAACTCTTTATTTTACTTTTATTTACAAGAGTTGATTTCACACTGTCAGTGGAATAATGTTTTTTGGATGAGGATCTTTTAGCAACATGTTTTACAACTTAAAATACATTTGAACAGGGAAAGTGAGCTGATATCTTTTCTGTTATTAAGACAAAGGTGACATTCTATTTCTTGGTCTGTTCCTTCCTCTTGATATAAAAGGGAGGAGTCACTTTAATTTTTTCTTGGCAGATTAGTTTAGGGCCTTACAAACACTTGGGCTAACAGTTAAGAGTTTCCAGTGGCTCTGGTTGGCTACTGTATGTATCTAGTTACCTGTCAGAAGATGCTGGTGAAGGACCAACTCTGAGCTGATAGCATTTTTTTGTTAGGCAGAGCAAGGAATTTGATATTCTTGGAGTTACACTCCCTGCCCAGATTTTCCTTCTGATGATTGGAACTTTGGAAAAATTATGTCTACTTTGTTAGCTGTTTTTTTTTTTTCTAGTGAAAGATTTGGGTAAGGGGTGTATACATAGGACCAGTGGGAGAGTAAGTTGCCCGTGGTGTTGCCCGGTGATGGAGTGTTTTCTGCCTTAGGATCTGTAATGAACCTCTGTCTGTCTTCTAGGACTATTCCTTTTCCAGTATTCGTGTGGAGACTCCCCTCCTGCTGGTGGTGAATGGAAAGCCTCAGGGTTCCAGCAGCCAGGCTGCTGCCACAGTGGCCTCTCGACCGCAGTGTGAATGACCTCTCCTGACCTGCATGCTGAAGAGGGAGTGGAGGCGAGGATATATGCTCAAGGCACTCGGCCACTGGACCAGCCACATCCAATGACTCTGAGGGATTTGGGGAGGGAGTATTTTAAATGAAGACTTTCCCTTTTCCTGCCCAATAAGATATTTTGTGTCTCCTTTTTTTTTTTTTTTTTCTCCCATCATGTTCCAGCTCTTTTCAGAGCCACATAGTCTCATGATATATCTCTCCTGCCTTTTTTAACTTTTTGACTGCTGTTTTAAGCAAAGAGCTTAGAATTGGTAGAAGTGTTAGAATCTTGCCATGGGACAGGGTCCCCAAGGTTCCTGTTTTTTGTCTCCGTCCTGAGTCTAATATGTATATATCAGTTCAGTATTTATTGCTAAGGGTAGGGGTGCTTAACTTTTTAATGGCTTGATTTTTGAGCATTTTTTAAGATTTAAGTTCTTCCTCTAATTTGGGGCTGGAACAAAATTAAACTTGTTTCAAAGAAAAAAATACCATGTAGTTTGGTTTGCTTTTTTCTCTCCAGGCTTGGATTCTTGCATTTAAGATCTATTGAAATAATACTATCTATTTGGTTTTTATATAAAATAGTTTATTTCTCTCCCAGTTAAAAAATTCTGGCAGTAGACAGCCCAGGAATGAAAGCTCCAGAAGATTGCTGGAGAAACAGTTTCATTTCATATTCTCATTTTATCATCCTTAGATGTGGTCCTCATTATGGTCCAAAGTGGCAGAGCAATATTATTCTAATAGTGTTTCCTAGGCTGAAAGACCAGAAAAAGCCATATATTTCATTTCTTCAGGTTCTAGTGATATATTTTATAAGTTTCTCTCAATATTTTCATGGAAAAATAAGGAAACATGAGTGAGAATTAATAACCAATTGAACAGCTGTAAGATATTAATGCTTACAGATGTATTTGGAAGACTTCTAGTGATATAGCTCAGGTCTTTCTCCTTGGTACAGTCCTGTTCAACTCTTGTTCAGTGACTTGAGTATCACTGAAATTTTGTAAAGAATGTAAAATACTTCTCAGTGAATTGATTACAGTGTTCAAGCCTATCTAAAGAAGTTATATCTATCTTCTATAGGTATAGAAGATAGAAGTTATCTTCTATCTGTCTAAAGAAGTTATAAAAGCTGGATGTAACAAGATAAAATTTTTTATTGGTACATTTTAATGGAATTCATTATGCTATAGTCATACATGTGTATAATATAATTTGATCAATCTTATTGCCTAATACCTCTCCTTCTCCTTCCCTTCTCCACCTGATCCCCCTTGATCTAATGGTCTCCCTTCTTTTATTATTTTTAATTAGTGCATTATAATTTCATACAATAGTGGGATTCATAGTGGTATGTTTGTACATGGATATAGCATAATTGGTAGATTTCATTCCCCAGTACTTCCCCATGCCTTTTTCTCTTCCCTCCTTGTTGATCCCCTTTCTATACTTTATTGGTCCCCTTTGTGAGATTCCCATTTTTTCCTCTAACTGCCACCTCAGAGAAAATACTAGTCCCTTGTCGTTCTGAGTCTGGATTATTTCACTTAGTACAATATTCTCTAGTTCCATCCATTTATAAGAAGATGACACAATTTCATTCTTCTCAGGCTGAGTAAACCTCCACTGTGTATATATACCATATTTCCTTTATTCATTTGTTGATAGATATCTAGGCTGGTTCCATAACTTAGTTATTGTGGATTGTGTTGCTCTAAACATTGGTATGTAAGTATTCCTATAGAATGCTGATATTAGTTTTTTTTTTTTTTTTTGATAAATATCAAGGAGTAGGATAAATGTATTGTATGGTGGTTCCATTCCTAGCCTTTAGAGAAATGTTCATACTATTTACAAAATGATTGTATTAATTTTCAGTTCTAACAACAATATATAAGTGTACATTTTCCCACATCCTCTCTAGCATTTAATATTGTTTTCTTGATGCTTGCCATTCTCACTGGAGTGAGATAAAATCTCAGTGTAGTTTTGATTTGCATTTCCCTGGTTGCTAAAGATGTTGAACATTTTTTCATATATTTGTTGGCCATTTGTATGTCCTCGTTTGAGAAATGTCTGTATAAGTTATTTGCCTACTGACTGGGTTATTTGTTTTTCTGGTGTTACTTTTTTTTAGTTCTTTATATATCTGGATATTAATCCCTTATTGGAAGAGTAACTAGCAAAGCTTTTCTCCCATTCTGTAGGTTCTTTCTTCATGCTCTTAATTATTTTCTTTGCTGTGCAGAAGCTTTTTAATTTGATGCCATCCTTCTTATTGATTCTAATTTTATTTCCCGAGCATCAGGAGTCTTATTAATTCAATGCCTGTATATTGGAGTGTTGACACTACGTTTTCTTCTAGCAGTTTCAGTGTTTCTGGTCTAATTTCTAGAATCACTTTGAATTGAATTTTTATACAGGGTGAAAGATAGGACTCTAGTTATTCTTCTACATATATTCAACATCATTTGTTGAAAAGGCTATCTTTTATCTAATATATATATTTTTTGGCATCTTTGTTGAGTAACAAATAACTGTATCTTTGTGGATTTGTCTCTTGAGTTTTCTATTCCATCCATTGATCTTCATTTCTCTTTTCATGCCAAACAATGCTGTTTTTGCTACTGTAGTTATGTAGTGTAATTTGAGATTAGGTGTTGTGATGCTTTCCAACATTGCTTTTATTGCTCAAAATTGCTTTAGCTATTCTGGCTTTCTTATTCTTCTATAAGATTTTTAGGACTTTTTTCTAGTTCTGTAAAGAATGTCATTGATATATTGATAGGGATTGTATTGTATCTGTAGATCACTTTTGATAATAAAGCCATTTTGACAATTCCAAGAGCATGTTAGGTCTTTCCATTTTCTAAGGTCTACTTCAATTTCTTTCTTTGTTGTTCTGTAATTTTCATTGTAGAGGTTTTCTGCCTCTTCAGTTAGATTTACTCCTGTGTGTGTGTGTGTGTGTGTGTGAGAGAGAGAGAGAGAGAGAGAGAGAGAGAGAGAGAGAGGTTATTGTGAATGAAATTGTTTTCCTGGTTTCTTTCTCAGCAGATTCATTATTAGAATAAAGGAAAGCTATTGATTTTGTATGTTGATGTTATATCTCACTACTTTGCTGATTTTTTTTAAATTAGCTTAGATATCTAGTAGAGTTTTGGGGATTTTTAAAATGGATCATGTCATTAGCAAATAGAGACAAGTTGTCTTCTTTTTCTTGCCTAATTTCCCTGACTAGAGTTTCAGGTATTATATTGAATAGGAATGATGACAGTGGACATCCTTAATAAGGTCTTTTGATTCATAAGGCTAAGTTTCTGAGGTGAATCTTCAGAAAGACGATAATCATGTATAAAAATTACTAGGTATTTTCATAGATAAGGCCCAGTCAGTATGAGTAATCAGTATCATAGAGTTGCAAAAGGACTCTCTGACTATACCAAGATATTTGTGATAGAGTTTTTAATAGAGTGTTTGTCTCTCAGAACACGTGGAATCTTGAATTTAGTTTCCGCTGTCAATTTTGAGGTCTCTAGTCAACAAGAGTGATTAGGAGCTTGTAGGGTTATAAAATTGTCTTGAGCAATAGCTGAAAGCAGCTAGGGAGTATAGGTTGGTAAACATTAGAGATAACAGAAATGAGACCTGCTGTGATATGTTCCCTAAAAGCTCATATGTGAGAGAGTGCAAGAAAGTTTAGATGTGGAATGATTGGGTTATGAGACCCTTAACCTAATTAGTGCATTAATCTCCTGATAGGGGTTAACTGGGTGGTAAATTGGCAGGTAGGACGTGGATGGAGGAGGTGGGTCATTAAGGGTGTGCATTTGAGATATATATTTTGTCCTTTTTGAGGGGAGCTCTCTCTGCTTCCTGGTGCCATGTCCTGAGCTGCTGTCCTCTGCCGCACTCAACATAACATCCTGCTTTACCTTGGACCCTGTGAATGGAGTGGTCCACCTGTGGATTGAGACCTCTTAACACAGTGAGCCCTGAAATAAACTTTTCCTCCTCTAATTGTTCTTGTCAGATCTTTTGGTCACAGCAGCAAAAAAGCTATGACCAAAAGAGAAATTGATGCTGAGAAGTAGGGTTCTTGCTGAGACTAATGTGGTTCAGAAACTTTTGGAGCTTTTTGGAATTTGTGGGAGGATAGTTTAGCAATGTAAGCTGGAAAAACTTTAGAATGTTGTGAGAGGAACTTAATGGCCAATTCTGGTGGGAGCTCAAAAGACCAGAATGCTGATAGGACTATATACAGTAAAGACTGGGTTCAAGAGTTTTCAGAGAAGAAGGACTCTATTGGAAATGGGACTAGAGTCCATTTGTGTTATGTTCTGGCTAAGAAGTTGTCTTCATTTTGCCCATGTTTTGAGACTTTCTGTGAGGCTAAATTTGAAGGTGATGGATTTCTTAACCTAGCAGAAGAAATTTCTAGGCAGTATAGTATTCAGGATGTAATATTCATGGATATTGCTGGCGGCTTTTATCCAAGTTTTTTTGTGATAATCAGGAGCAGAAAGCAAAGCAGAAAGATTTGAAAAACTTGCAGCTTGGCCAGAAAACTGTGAGTAAAAGTGGGGCTAAGGAAGGTATGGTTGTTTAAAAACAACACATCCACTACAGAAACACTAAATACTTTAACCAGAGACAATAGGAAGGATGGCTTGAAGGCTTCTCAGGAATTGGCAAGACCATACCCATTTCAGGTTCAAAGGCATAAAAATAAAAATTCCTTTGAGAAGGAACAAACCATTGGATTTCCCTGCTTGCAGGGAGCAGATGGTAGGAAGTTGTTTCAACATGCTCAGCCACCGAGGTACTCAGAGGCTGCTGCAGCCTTGGTCCCTGGAGGCTTGGCTACTGCTTGAGATGGTGGCAGACCTTGGTGTCAACCATGTGGTGCTGATTCTACAGAAATGCAAGATGCTTGAGTTAAGGGGTCATGGATGCTTACACCAAGATTTCAAAGGAAAGCCTGGGAGGCCAGGCAAAGTGCAGGAGGGTTGGAGTTCCCTTGTGAGGAGGAAGCCAAAGCTGCAGTGGAGACTCCTGAGATTAATCTTATTCTCCTTTGTGGAGGAGAGATGCAGGAATCCATCTTAATCTCCTTTGTGGAGGAGAGCTGCAGGAATCCGTCAGAGGCAAGCTAAGAGAGAGGTCATGTGGGCTGTCATGTGCTTAGGATGTCATGTGCTTCAGATGCTGGACATGGAAATGTAGGACTTGTTTGCCCATCTGGATTTCAGTCTTGTTTTGGTCCCATCCCTTCTTTCTATGCCCTTGTTTCTTTACACGGAAATGTTTACTCTGTGCCTTTATATATTGAATGTATGTAACTTGCTTTTGATATTTACAGCTCATTTTGAGAGTTTGCCTTGAGTCTCAAAGGAGACTTTGTACTTGGAATTTTGGGCAATGCTAGAACTGTTAAGAATCAGATTAAATGTTTTTTAACAGTTCTAGCATTTAATCTGATT